TGTTTATTCTCCCCCTACAGCCAACAGCGCTTCATGGAAAGGTCTTTAGAGGCCACAAATTTCACTGCTCAACTTAAACGATTAAAGCAAATAAGACTCAGAGAAGGAAAGGGATTTACCCAAAGTCTCACAGCTAATGTCAGGACTGGCTGAATCCAGGTGGTCTGGCTCCTTGTCAACTGTACTCTGTTGGTGCACAGATTGTCTCAGCCTGGCCTTCCCCCGCCCCACTAAAAAATGTTCTTCCTTCAACAAGGTCCTTGTCAGAGGACATCATTTGGTGACTTTCAACAAACATTATAAAAAGTACTTGCCAATCACCACAAAATATCAGATGAGTTTGATTTTAATCATTTTTATTATCTTGTGAAATAGGAACCCTTTTTATGCTTATTTATTCCTATAAACAAGAGAGAGTTTGACTCATGATAACTGATATTTCATTCAGTCCGCCAAGCATAGGCTGTAAGGAACAGAAGTAAGAAAAAAACTTCTGCTTATTTCAAGATAGTTTCAATTATCATAACCAAGAAATGCTGTCTTGTCTCTTGGGTCAATCATTTAGGTCATCATTAAAACCACACCTCATATTCTTTGGTGCTAGTCTATGAAAGCTGATTTGAGATTCTTATTTCTATAAAAAGATATATAAACATAAGTGGCAAATGTATAGATTTATAAAATTTATACATTTATAAGATTTTATTGTGGATTCTATCCACCAAAGTCTATAAATATCCAGATTTAAAAAAAAAAATCATCATGTTCTCCTTCCCAAACACCCTTTAGTACAGAAATAGTGATTTTAAAATAGAAAGCATAGTCTATTTATATGTATTTCATCTTTACATAAATGCCAACTGAAATCCAGTAAAGTTGTTGGTTACCTTTCATTTGTAGCTAATTCTTAAATGTAACTAAGTCCCACAATACACAATTTTTTCTTATTTTCAAAGATAACACTTCTCTTACTCGATCTTTAAAGGGGGGTAGTATTTTGTTAATAGTAGCTTTCTTCGGCCCACTCCTCTGAGCTCAAGAATTAAAATGATGGTAGTCATTTGGGCCATTTTCTTACCTCTCTTCTACTAAATCTGTCAGTCAGAGAAGATTAAATTTCTCCAAATGATCAATCTGTTCTGCTGATAAAAAGCTCTGAAATAACTCAAAAATTCTAATATCTGAATACAGGTAAGGGTTACCTGTTATCTGAATGCAGACATCTATGTATGCAGATAATAGAATTTATCTTAAACACAAAGAATAGATTCTAGTATTAGAGGCAATGTGACATAGTAGAAACTTTTTAATTTTGGAAACAAACATGTTCAAACCCTGGTTCTGCCCTACCACTTAATTATCTATATAATTTTGAACAAGTTACCTAATTACTGAGTCTTGAAGTTTAGACTTATTGTGTTTAGAGTTGTTGTGATACTTAAGTAGATTCAGGAATATAAAACATCTAACAAGAAGAACTGTACTAGCAGGTGTTCAAGAAATATTTGTTGTGCATGTTGGTGCAATCTAAAAAGATTTTTTAATGGTAAGATTTTTTAAAAGTAATATTCTGCCAAAATGAATACTCCAGGTATATAGATAGATGAGTTTATAGATCTAAAATTGAGATTATTTTGGAAACTAAGGCAATCTTAGATAGGAAACTACAGAAAGAAAACAGCTACCTCGATTCACATTTTCTTGATAAGGATATAAAATTAAAGAAAAAAGGTTTCACCTTTATCCGCAGTTAGCTCCCTTTATCTTTTGTGATTATTGGTGGGGAAGAAAATGGCAAGTAAAAAAACATATCAATGCACCCTCCCAAGGTCACATTAAGAGTCCATTTATCCTGAAAAAAAAAGAGAAAGTAGTCCAAAGTGCAAACATTCTCTTCTCAGCTGCCGCAACAAATTAAGGCTAAATATGTTTTCTGACATCTTTGAACAATAGTGTTTTTATATGATGATTAATATTTGACCTTTTTGAAATGTCTTACTTATTTCTAACCACACAGACACAGTCATATGGTCTCCATGATGTTTGCTGAATGTTGTTGGAACCAACTGAAAATAAAAACTGTCAGCTCAAACTTAAAAAAACCAGGGTCACACTAAATCCATATAAAAACTCAGTGTCATATAAGAACTGGTGTAGTTTAGGAAACATGATACTTTTGAAAATAGCACCAAAAATGGGTATAGAGAAACACATATATTATTACAGCTTGATTTCTACCATATATAATCTCTTTCTAAATTTTTTTTTAAATTTTGCCAACTAATTAACATAAGGTAGAATTTTAGACATGTAAATAATTCTCCATTGGTGAATATTTATTCTAAAGTGTTTAGAGCACATTTTTGTTTACCTATTAAGCAAAACCTATTTGTTTACCTGTTAAAAAATTACAGAATAAGTGGTAAATTTTAAAATTAGCTATTTTCCTCAGAGAGAAGCATTATAATCATTTTTTAAAATGTATGTGTATTTACCGCACATTAATAAAAAAACAAACAGGGAATGATCACTATCCTTCCTTTAATATAAGTAGTAGTTAGTGCTCCATTTAATAACAAAATGTTTATCCTCCAGGTCACACTATGGGGGTATGAAATAAGTCTTTCCTGACTCCTAATAATGACCAGATGGTAAGTGAAATAGCCATACAAACAGCCCCATCAGTGACTCAAGGAAAGAGACTCTGGGGAGAGCTTATCAGGTTGGAAGATCAGCCATCGTCTTTGTAGAGCTTTGTTGGAAGCCACAGGAAGCCAACAGTCCCCAGGAAGCCAGCAGCTGCTGAGAAGTCTTTCCTCCCCAGTTCCCAGAGAAGACTGAACTCTATCCGAGTCAGAAGATTTCTCTCAGCAAGGTAATTATCGGATCCAGAACAACCAACATTTTGTTGGGCCAGTGGCTTAATTCTTGAGAGAAGTGTTGCAGTCACCCTAAAGAATCCTTCAAGGTGACATGAAATCGAGTGTGCTTGTACGTGTGCAAAAGGGGGTGGTGCAGAAGGAACTAGAAGTTCTTAACCAGTCTCCTTCCTACATTCTCACATCTCTCCTCAAAGGTAAGTCAGCCACAAGTGCCTACCTCTCATTTTCTCAAAAATAATTTTGTAATTTCAGAGATCTTATTTTTAAAATGTCTAGTCCTGATTGGCTCCAAAACCTTTACTTGCATCTTTGAATCTTCCATTTCAGAGGAGAAAGCCAGAGGGCAGGGAATAATCTATTTTCAAAATGGGTGAAACTAAGTCTTGTCAAGGAATTGGAAGACTGTTGAGTAAAACTTTAAAAATCCCCCAATCAAAAAAATCAGCCATAAGTCACATTAAAACCATGACTCCAGTCTTATTTTATATTGAACTTGAAACAGAAGTGACTTTAATCAGTCTTCTGGGCTTCAGGACAGACTGGTTCATATCTCAATGATTTGCTTAAGTTTCAGACGGGAAGAGGTATTGGACTATATCCCATTTCTACCCACCCTCAATGTTTGAGCTAAGAGTCCTAAGTTATCATACTGATAGCAAATTTCAGGAATATTTTTTTAAAAGGATTTTAAAATTACTAGAGCCCAGGGCCCTCTGAATTTTTTTGTGAAGTTTAACCAAGAATTTGTAGAGTGTTCTTCACTAGGACTAGCATGGCAAAAGAAAAAAATGTGCCAAGAGAATAGTTGATACTAGTTTCTTTTCATGCCTGTAATGAAATTTTGTCTGAAAACACAGCATTTAAAATACTGTAAATGTGGCTAACTGTGTGCAAGATACCAATTCAGAAAACAGTTATGACAGTTTATAGTTGGCTTTAAAGCAACAGCTGTTGAAACATGCTGGCTACTTCGATGATTTATAACAATTTACTTTAACCTACAAAGTTTAACATAATGGTCAACATATGATAAATTTTACCAGACTTTAGCAAGTGTATAGTTATTAGTTATAAAGTCTATGATATTCAGTGGAATTAATCAGATCACATACCATAAACTGGCTCTTACATTAAATATATGGGTATCCCTGATATCTATTTCCAAAAAGAAAAAAGACACATATCAGCTGTAATCATTTAAATATACTGAAATCTTTTGGCATACCAGTTCAAATATTTTGATGACTTGAACCAAATTCAAACTGGCTAAAATAAGTGTTGGCTCATTTAACTTGAAAGTCTACAGAAAGAGAATCCTCGGAGTTGGGGGCAGCAAGTCTTGTGGCCCATGTTTTCATTTCCAAACTCTCCATAATGACATCCAATGTCAGCGTCATCCTTAAGCTGGCTCTACTCATGACTGTGCAATAGTTGTAAGCAGCAATAGAAGCCAAATGTTTCCTCTTCCATATCAAGGGAGAGTATATGTTTCTGCCCCAGCATTCTAAATTAGGATAGAAGTAGCTTACATCATTTGTCCCTCATTAATGTTTGCAGTCAGTGAAATGATTCCTGCAGATTCCAGTCAGAATACATGTCTGGAACTGGAGATGAAGTCATTCCCTGAGACGGATGAAGATTATGCGGAAGGTAGACACTGGCATAAAAACTGGAACGAGAGGAAGAATGAATACTGGGTGTTCACTATGTGGATATCTGATCTGAAAGACAGTAGTAAGCCTGTGTCAGCATTTACTGAAAGTAATTGTTGCAGATGGGCGCTGTGGTTCATGCCTGTAATTCCAGCACTTTGAGAGGCCAAGGCAAGGGATCGCTTGAGCCCAGGAATTAGAGACCAGTCTGGGCAACATAGCAAGATTTTGTCTCTACAAAAATAAAAATAAAAAAAATTAGCTGGGCGGGATGTCTTGTGTATGTAGTCTGAGTGTGGGGAGAGAGAAAGAGAGAGAAATCGACTCAAAAAAAGAAAGGGAGGGACAGGGGGAGAGAGGGAGAAAGCGGAGGGGGAGGGAGGAGGGGGGAGAGGGAAGGGGAGGGAGAGAAGAAGAAAGAATTCCCAGATTGCAAACTAACAACAACAAAACAACAACAACAACAAAATTTCAAGGCCAGTATGTTTCTTTTTTATTATTACTTTTGCGTTTGACTTAAGATGGTTGAATGAGTTCATTTTCTTTTATAAGCATTACATTAATTCCCATGCAAAAACCCAAGACCGCATATGTCTGATTTCAATTGGCCAAAATCCAACCTATGAGTCTGGACATTCAGGACCAAAACCAAAATATTGCTTGACCCTTCCATTAGTAGATATCATGGGTGTCTTTTGAAAGATCAGCAGGCCCCATGACACCATAAACCCCACAATGCCATAAGTCCATACCAAAATAGGGAGTCAATGCCTTGCAGCACCTAAACCTGGCAAGTAGTTTCATTCAAGAAGACAGGACACCTCTATATCAAGGCTGCCACCCGCAGATATTTCCTGGTTCCTGATCTACAGCAAAACCTGTTTTTAAACAAACATGGTATCTTCTTTTGGGGGAATTACAAATTCATCCTGCCAGTTTTCCTCAAAACGCTCAGGAGAAGTAAAGAGACTTTACAAAAAAACTTACCTCTAAAACCCCAAAGGAATAAATACAAAGACATCTACTTTATCAAGTATATATTTTCCCCAGCTTCAGTTAACATGTATAAAGCTTTAAAAATTTCCTTCAGTAAGACAGGAACCAGGAATATCACAGAAGGCAAAACAGGACCTCACAATTAAAGGAGAACTGAACAAATGCACAGAATCATTCCACGAATTGAGAGAAATGGGCTAATAATAGCATTTCAAGAGTGGATGTAAATTTATATTGAAACACACTTTGCAATTCTGACAATGGCAAAGATTTCATTAGTGCAAATAATAATTACAGTGGTATGTTCTTTAATAGGATTTAAATAAGGCTTCAAATAATTACATATGCTAAAACTAACATTTGGAAACCTAATTCTGTTTGAAAAACCGTCAAACACACCCTCCAAACCACCCAGTGTTCTCTGATTTGAGGACAATTACATTCAGTGAAGTTGCTCGAAGACACAGTTTGTAGCATCACCACTTTCAAAGTTAACATTGTTGGTAGAAAAAAAGGGAAAACTGCTCTGGCCGCTGCCTAAAAGAAATAAATCCAGCTAACATGCCAGGTAGTTCCCAGGTATGTATGATTTGTAAATATCAGTAGTAGTGAAAGCTCATTAAAAAAAAACAAGGATAAAAAACAAAACAAAATAATAATAGAATCCTTAAGTATCAGAAAGAGATTTACTTCCCCATACCCATTAACAAATTTGCACCATATATGAAACAGAAAAAAGCAAGAGGACTCATGGGCATTTTCATCTATGGCTCAAGTTCTCCTTTAAAAAACAAAACCAACAAATAAAACTGAGTGACAATAACTACAAAAAGTAAACAACAACAAAATCAGAGGCAGAATATGAAATAGTAATATACTGTTTCAGAGCCTGCACCATCCTGCAGAACCAGGAAACTTAAAATTTGTTCTTAACAAATCCAATCTAGGCTGGATATGTAAAAAACAGAAAGACAGCATCACAAACCACACTACACATTATGAGAGTTTAAGAATCGGGGGTGGGGGGAGTCAGCAAAACACTCAAAAAAATTTGTCATCAATCCTGAAGTGGGGCCTTGTGACATCATCAGGGTTGATAAAAACAGAGATTGACTTCCCCGGGTTCTCAGTCACTAGCTGCTGCAGTTTTTTGGCCAAACGGTCATCAGGTTGGTTGGGGTCCCCTCCGTCAGACTGCGGGGAAGGGATGCTGGTGGTGCTACCTCTCCTCTGGAGCTCCAGTGTCAGCCGGTTGGCTGCCTTGACGTGCTCAATGGCAGTGCGCAAGTGCTCTGCCGGGTCTGAGCGTACAGAGGAAAGCTTCCGGGCGTGGAGCATGACTGTCTCCTCTGACAGATGTTCCAGCATGTTGCACTGAGGGATGAAATAATTGGGGCACATCTTGTTGACCAGACAGTGTTGCAGATCATCAATGAGGCCCAACAAAAAGTGGGCTGCATAGTCTTCTTGAGCCAAGTAGTTGGCTGGAAGTCTGTCACAGGCCCAGAGCATCATGCTCCGTAGGTGATAGGGGCTAATAGCCTTGGGCCGGGACAGCAGTTTAATAATAATGGCTTTGCAGGCCTGGTAGGCTTGCATGAGGCTGCTAGAGATGCACTTCTTCAACTGTACCTCGCTCCTGGCAAAGGACAGCCGCCATTCATTGTCCTTCTTACCCTTGTAGGAGCAAGCAGGCACCAAGTAAAACCCACTGATGACTTCTTCCTCAGTAATCTTCCCATCCCAAAAGTGGTTCTCCATGAGCCAGCTCTGGGCCACTGCAGGCCAACCTTTGAAAGATACCACTGGGACGATATCGTATAACATACGACTGCTCCCTACACCCAGAATGATGGAGATGATGGTCCCATTTTTTTCTACCTTTTCCACCTTTGGCATCCCTCGCTGGGGTTTCTTCTGTATCTCTGACAAGACGATGCTGATGGAATCATAGAACCAGTCGGCCACTTTGGTAGGAGAGAAGAAGTAGTTGGTGGCACCATTGATGTGATCTACAATGGTGCAGCAGTCTTTCCATTTACTGATTGTCCCCTCATCAAAGAGCCGAAGGCTCAGCCAGGAGTGGCACAAGGCTGAATGGCGCATATCAAGCGTCACAGGCTGATTACGGTCATGCAGCTTGAGGGCTGGTACCAAAAGGGTGAAGTCCATATCATAGTCAGTCCCCCGGGCATAGACATTAAGCTCATCCAAGTCCAGGTCAACAACACCTTCTCGGACTCCTCCAGAGAGCAACAGGTACTCATTAGCCACTGGAAGTTTTTGGTCCAGCTTTTGCACCATTCCTAGAAATCAAAGATAAAAAAACAATGCAATTATAGGAAGTATAGGCACAAGAGTCTTATACATTAATACAGAATGCTGCCGGGCACAGTGGCTCATGCCTGCAATCCCAGCACTTTGGAAGGCCAAGGTGAGAGGATTTCTTGAGCCCACGGGTTCAAGACCAGCCTGGGCAACGTGGCGAGACCTCATCTCTACAATGAATCAAAAAATTAGCCACGCATGGTGGCACATGCCTATAGTTCAAGCTACTTGGAAGGCTGAGACGAAGGATCACCTGAGCCCAGCAGGTCGAGGCAGCAGTGGCCGTGAGAGTGCCACTACACTCCAGCCTGGGTGACAGAGTGAGACTCTAGCTCAAAAAAAAAAAAATATATATATAGAGAGAGAGAGAGAGGGAGAGAGAGACAAAGGGGGAGAGAGAGAGAGAGAGAGAGAGAGAGAGAGAGAGAGAGAGAGAGAGAGAGAGAACGCCATGACGTTCCAAAAGCCAAAATTTATTATCAATACAAAACCAGAATCCCAGCTGTCACAGAAACCCAGTCAATGGTACTTTCTCACTAGTGCTAGAATCTACTCTTTTTCAAGTGGAAGCATTAAATTTTCTCTTACAACAAAAAGCAATATAATTTTCAATCATAAACCATGGTTCTTCTTCCCCTAGTCATCACCTCAGTTAATAGCAATGCAGTCCACTCAGTTACCCAGGCTGAACACCTTAATAAGCAATCCTTCCTTGTCCTTCTACTGCCAAATCTTATCTATATAACTTCTGCCAAGGTTTCTCACATCCTTGCCTGTTCTTCATCTCTGCTGTTATCCTATGAGGTTAAGTCCTTTTTATCTCTTGCCAAGTCAGTCTCCCTTCCCCAGGCTTTCCCTGCTTAAGCTTTTCTCTGTACTAGCAGATCTCAAGGTGGGCTACAGACACTTTCAAGGAACAGTGAAGTCATATCTCTTTCCATAATAATACTAACACATTGTTTGACTTTTTCACTGTGTTGACACTTACACTGATGGTACAAAATCCATGGAAGGTAAACCTGCCAATGCCTTAGCATACGAGCCAAGACATTGGTACCCCTGTACTAGCAGTCAGTAGATTCTAACATGCACTAGCAACTTTTTAAAAATCCAATTTCAGCCGGGCTCAGTGGCTCAGCCTGTAATCCCGTGCCTTTGGGAGGCTGAGGTGAGTGGATTGCCTGAGCCTGCAGGTTCGAGACCCCATGGGCAGCGAGACCTCATTTCTACAATAAATCAAAAAATCAGCTGGGCGTAGTAGCGCATGCCTGTAATTCCGGCTACTTGGAAGGCTGAGGCGGAAGGATTGCCGGAGCCCTGCAGGTTGAGGGTGCGGTGGCCGGGAGCGGCCACTGCACTCCAGTCTGGGTGACAGAGTGAGACTCCAACTCAAAAAAAAAAAAAAAAACCCAATTTCACTCAAGAAAATACTTGATGGAGAAGAATGATTTGTTTTATTAAATCTTGACCTTTAAGTCATTAGAAAGATTACCTGGGTGATGAAGTGTGAAGTAACCATTAAGCCTCTCTGCCTCACACCAAAATATGAAAGTTGTGTTCAAGACAAGCACTCATGCACTGATGTGTGAGTTGAACTAGATTCATTGTTCATGAAACACCATTTTTACTTTAGAGAACAACTGACAAACTATGGCTCTTCGGACTTGGGTATTTGGCAGACATTTTCTTTAAAACTGAACAAAATGAGCCTGGCTTCATGAAAACTATTGATAATGTTTATTGCCAATGATAAAATTGAGACTTTCAAGAGAAAATTAAATTTTAGAAAACTCGTATCCTGTGCCACGAGCTTGACATCTTCCCAAATTGTATACATTTCTGGTGAGATTGGTGGTGATATTAACAAATGTGATTTTTGATGAGATTGTGAGTCCTTTGAGAGTGAGAACCATGTCTCAGATAGGTATTCAGCAGGCATAGAGTCCGCATGCAGTAGGCACATAATTGAAGCTATGACTACATGATGAAGGAACAAATGCATGAAATTAATAGTTGGATAGAGTTAATAGATGGAATTAACCTAAGACCTTAAATAAAGGCTAGACTTAAATGGCTGTTCGCCAAATGACATACACATTTACCCTCTCTGTCTCCTGTCTTTTTATTATGTATTTGCTTGTGCTTCAGTATCTGACAAACTACCAGTATCATTTTCTGAGATTTATTTAACAGGCTTTCCCCCAAAGATCACAAATAATTATCACAAAAGAATTCCATTAATCATTACAATTCATAGTTTGTTGTTCATAGGACTACCCATAATCAAATAAATAAACTATGTATATGTGTTTTGTTACCATTATTGTTACAGACTAAATGTTTGTGTCCCCCATTCATGTCCTGAAATATTAACTTCCAATGTGATAGTATCGTTACCAACAGCACTGTAGAGATATCTAATAACAGGTAAGAGTGAAGTTGCCACTTGGATGATTCTGCACCAGTTGTTGCAGACATCAAAGAGCTTGGAACTTTTCCTAAAGCCCTGAAGATTTCTGAGTCTAACTTGCCTACTCTATCAGTATTAGGAGGTGAGGCCTTTGGTCAGTGATTAGGCATAAGGATGGAGACCTCACAAGTGAGATTAGTGCCTTTATAAAAGAGACCTTAGGGCCAGGCATGGTGGCTCATGCCTATAATCCCAGCACTTTGGAAGGCCAAGGTGAGAGGATTGCCTGAGTCTGAGGGTTCGAGGCCAACCTGGGCAACTTGGGGAGATCTTATCTCTACAAAAAATGAAAAATAAAAATTAGCCATGCACGGTGGCATGCGCCTATAGTTCCAGCTACTTGGAAGCTTGAGGCGAAAGGATCACCTGAGCCCAGCAGGTCAAGGCTGCAGTGGCTGAGAACATGCTACTACTCTCCAGCCTGGGTGACAGAGCGAGACTCAAACTCAAAAAAAAAAGAGACCTCAGAGAGCTTTCTCAACCCTTTTGCCATAAGAGGTTACAGCAAGAAGACAGCCATCTATGAACCAGGAAGCAGCCCTTCACCAGACAATGAATATGCCAGAAACTTAATCTTGACTTCCCAGCCTCCAGAACTGTGAGAAATAAATTCCTGTTGTTTATACGCTACTCAGTCTATGGTACTTTGTTAAAACAGTCTGAATGAACTAAGACAACTATATTTTAAAACTTCATGCTGATTTATAAAAATATGCTTTTCACTCTTTAAAATTCTATTTTCCAAACCATATTAACCATGAAAAAGTATTTTATTTAGTACTGTTTCCTTATATTCGGATAGGAATATGGTAAGTTATCATTTCCTTTTGAAAGCAATCAATAAGTTATCCAACATTATAGAGTCAGCAATTCATCAGGAAGAAAGTCCAGCATACCTGATTTCTTGGACTGTTTCTTACACTACCCGCACTGTGATACAGCAACCAGATCCATCTTCAGCAAAGGGGTTGTCCCAATTACTTAAATGCAATCCTTAAGGATCTTCTCAGCTGCAAATACCTTCCTCAACCAAGGTCATGTCCTGTGGCAGGGGTGTATCCCAGATCAGGACACTCTAAAAGGTCATACAAACCCAGAATTCCCAACAGGGTCAGCTGCGGCTAATGATGGTCCTGTAAAGAAACTTCTACTTGATCCTTCTTCCTTCCTTCCTTCCTTTCCATGGGTGCAGATCTCAAGGATGTTCCTTAATAAACATTCTAACTCCATTTCAGAGGATGCTTCCCAAGAAAGTCAGCATACTACGCTACATACAACCCAAGCAAAACAAAAGACACTACATATTACCAAAGCAAAAACAGCCTTCACTACTAATTCAGCATGGAAAATTTACTTTCCTTTTGAAAGTGAATTTTAAAGCCAAAGTTAATCAGGATGGAAAGTTCTCATAAACAGCAGACAAAGATCCATTTCTCAGCTGTCATCATGTATTAATATTAACCTCATCTTACAATGTAACAAACACTAACATCCCAAATTTTAACTGTAGCTATAAAAAGATAATAAGATTGATTTCCCAGATTCCAGAGTAGGCTGTGAAAATCATTTTCATTACTTTTATGGACTCACATGTAGGTATAGTTACTTTCAAAGATATATTTTTGATAATGAAAGGATTTTCTTTTCATTGTTTTAAATACTTTTATTCTACAATTTAGAGGCTGTAAACGTACATGAAAAAATTGTGAAATGCTGTGTTGTGGTTAGTAAACAAGATCTGAATCAATTAAAGTAATATTGTTATTTGGGTATCACATTTTTGGCCCCTCTTGGGCATAAATAACTCAAAATCCTATATATCCTTTTGCCTTGTCAGGAACAAACTGGCTCTAAGCACACCAGCTAAGATCTGTCTATACAACTACAGTGATTTGTACATTAACAACCTAGAGATAACTTGTCTACAAAAGTGCCACTGAATTTTGCTTTGGGTTGTCACAATTTTGTTTGGATAGTCTTAGGTGAGACATTGCTTAAACTCCTCTCTGCCCTCTGCTGGATTTAAGAAGTTTTAACCTATTTTCGCTCATTAGCACACTAACTAGAATGTTCCTACTAATTAAAAACTATTATTTTTCCTCTCAACTACTGCTTATTTGCCCAGTTAAAATATCCACATTCAAAGATCCAAAGCACTTGGCTAAATTTTTTTTTTTTGAGTTGGAGTCTCACTCTTGTCACCCAGACTGGAGTGCAGTGGCTGCTCCCAGCCACCACAGCCTCGACCTGCTGGGTTCTGGCGATCCTTCCGCCTCAGCCTTCCAAGTAGCTGGAACTACAGGCACGCACTACCACACCCGGCTAATTTTTTGGTTTATTGTAGAGATGAGGTCTCACCAAGTTGCCCAGGCAGGTCTCGAACCCGCGGGCTCAGACCATCCACTCACCTCAGCATCCCAAAGCACGAGATTACAGACTGAGCCACCGAGTCCAGCTGGCTAAATTTTTATATTCATGAGTTAGGGTAATTTTAGACATGTCTTATTC